CCCCCTCCCCCTCCCCTCCAGTCTTCCCTCTGTGATCTACCCTCTACTGTCTGTCCTGCCCCCCCAGTCTCTCTCTCTCTGAAGCCGTGACCTTTTTCTTTTCCATGAACTTGGACCATTTCTCGATTTATGTCTGTCATCCTTGCGCAGGGGCCATGCTAGTCTTCATTCTCTGTATTGTTCCAATGTTTCTGTATTGTTCTGACGGACTCTCTAAATCCCTAACTGATCATGGATGGTGCTTTGAACGACTTCATTAGTTGGTGGCATTGTTGTGTTTCATTGACTGCTGTTGTTTGAGGCCATATTGGATGCAAGACTTTTCCTCTGCTTTCCGAGCAGAACCCTATTGTGTGTATTAGTAAGAAGAGAGAAGAGAATGTAAGATAACCAAAAAAACTTCGCTAAAAAGCGAAAAAAAAAGAAGAAATTGGTTTCTCCCTAAAGGGATGTTCTCATTCTCCTGTGGGCTGTGCATTTTCTTGGTTTTATTTTCTTTTTTCTTTTTAATTAAAAAAAAAGGATCATTTCTCGATTTATGCATGTCATCCTCACAAGGGGCGCAGGGGCCATGCTAATCTTCCCTCTCTCTGTATCGTTCCAATTGTAACGGATGTCCTTCCGAAGGACCTGTGCGTTTTCTCTGTTCGATCCTTTTGTATGGAATTTTGGAATGTTGGTGGAAAGTTGAGAGCTTGATTTTGCTTGTTTGGATTGTCACTGAAGTCGAAATTATGCGTTTCCTGATTTCACAGGCCGATGCGAAGATTGGTGGATTCATACATGAGGCGTTCGACTACATCAGCAAACCGACAACAGAGCAAACACTAGAAGAACTCTTGGCCCTCTGTCTCAAGTGTGGCGAAGTCAACATGACGGCTATGGAGATTCTCAATAAGGGCCACATTCACAATTTCGGCACGCCCGAGCCGACAAAGGTATTTGCAATCGCTGCGTTGCTGTACCGTTGAAAGTCCGACAAAGCAGTCTGCTGCAGTCATATGCTCTTTTCTGGAGTGCATGGTGGAAATGACGAAATGTGTGTGTGTGTGTGTGTGTGTGTGTGTGTGTGTGTGTGTGTGTGTGTGTGTGTGTGTGTGCGGCTCCTTACCGTCATTTTCTCATCAAGGGTGAACGACTTTATGTTTGTTGCATGTCTTCTCTTTTTGTGGGGTGGGGGGGAGAAGGGGGAGGTTTGCTGGGAGGAAGGGCCAGGAAATTTGGAGAGTACCCATTTGGCGATATGTAGAAATCTTTGAAAACTGTGGTCAGCAAAAGGAACAATCAGAAAAGGGATGCAAGGTGGTTGCCACTGAGAGAATTAAAAGGAAATGAATTTGTCTCTCTCTCTCTCTCTCTCTCTCTCTCTCTCTCTCTCTCTCTCTCTCTCTCTCTCTCTCTCTCTCTCTCTCTCTCTCTCTCTCTGTGTGCTTTGATCCTGTCCATTTCATGTTGCAAAACTCACTTGTGAGACAATCTCTCTCTCTCTCTCTCTCTCTCTCTCTCTCTCTCTCTCTCTCTCTCTCTCTCTCTCTCTCTCTCTGTGCTTTGATCCTGTCCATTTCATGTTGCAAAACTCACTTGTGAGACAATGCCTGACATCACAACTCGTTTAGAAGAATTCAAAAGTCTTCATGAGAGAAGCGAGGAAAGGAGAAGGGAGGAGAAGAACACAATTTGGAATCATCGCCGTGTCCCTCCGTCACTCGCCACAATCATCTTCCTTTCATCTCTCCCTCCTCTTTAGTGATGAAGAACTGCAGTGTGTGAATGATCCCCCTTACTGCCAGGCTAGCTTTCCTCTTCTTCTGCCGACCTCCTTATCCTAGGGCTTCTCCTACTTTCCCCACTTTGTGGCCATGTTGGTCTTCTACTGACTCTACTTCACCGGTCGTCTACTGACTCTACTTCACCCTCCAGCTCCATCTTCACATCCAGGAGCTCGACTACTCCCTCCGGACAGAGCAGCAGCATGATTGGTTGCTGAATGAGTGGAGTGCTCATTTGGATACGCCAAGGCTTTCCTGCCTCCAGTGCCTCTAGGCTGGGCACCTCTGCCTTTACCCGACCTTCCCTGGGTGAACTAGGCCTGCTGTGTGCTCCTGCCTTTGGCGCGAACAGCATTGCAGACTGATACCGAGCTACAGACCCTGAACCTAGACTTGTACGGGTCTGCACGCGGGCCGTGGCCATCATTGTCTGCTGTACAAGTACCAAACCTTTCAGGCCCAACGGACTCTCTACCATTGCTCAGTCCACTTTGCCCTTTGGTGATGCTGTCCATCGTGTACTCAATACTCGGTCCCATTTTCTTCTTCCACTTTGCCCTTTGATGATGTTGTCCATCGTGTACTCGATACTTCGTCCCTTCTCGTTCTTAGACTGTTTTCGTGTCCCATTGTGGCATTCCGAGTCAATATCCGAGCTCTTCTGTGGTCCTTCACCTTTTCTTTTTTTTTTTTTGTTTTTTAAACTTTTTTTTTGTTTTTTTTTCCCCCCCTTCTAACCACTTGGGGTTAAAGTAGAGTAGGCCAAAA